CACCATAGCGTAAAACCATTTAATGTAAACGTTTAAAAACAATATTTTAGGAAAACTCCCATGTCAGCAGCAACTCCCACCACACCAATGTATGTATACCTGGCCATATAAACATCAGATTTCAGCTGAATCAGCCAAATGTGATCCATGTCCGCCACACCCGGCTCCATCCTTTTGGACAAAGTTGATTCTTCAGTTGACTTTTGTCAAAGTTGCTGCAGTCACTGTATGGGTATTCTGAGAGCCACAGGCGCTGGTTGTCAGGGGAGATTCCCCATCCATGCCATTCAAAAACGTGTGTCTGGCCAGCGTTACTCCTGTTATTGGCCACCCCTCTGGGTGATGACCACTGTCTCCGCCTGTCTTTGCATTTCGTTGTGAAGACTTTCCCAGGGAATTTACAGAACGTACAGAAAAATACGTGTTGATCCTGCCAGAAACCCAGTATCCCTGTAGCTGCTGTGCACTCAACTAAAATCAATTCCATTAGCCTGACCACCTATGCTCATTAAACCTCATTCTATGGAAATTAGGAATAACAAGGGAGGTCTGTAGCACCTATGTTGTGTCAGAATTTTATTTTGTTTCTCCTTTACCTTTTTTTATATTCAAAGCTCAAGAAGAAGCATTTCATATGTTGCAGCTTAGCAGTCCTTAGATTTTTCAATCTTCGTTTCTTTTATTTATGCTCATTTACTGTACTGTATCTCTGAAGGAGCAATGTTGTCACCCTAGGGCAGGAAGTGTGTTACTGGCAGAATCAGTAGGTAAAAATTAAAGGTAAAATCCTGAAAAATAAGGTCTAAGGGCTGGCAAGCTGCAATGCATTAAGGCTGGGTTCACACCTAGGCGTATTACGTATGCACGTCTGTCGCGCGACCGTCACGCGTTTTTTTACCGTGATTCGCGGTAAAAAAATCGCGCGACCGTCGCGCGATTCCGAAGGCTACTTGGCTGTATCCCAATGGAAAACGCCCTCCAAAACGGCCCAAAGAAGTACATGTACTTGTTTGGGCGTCAGCCGTTTTGTAGCGCGTTCAGATGGGCGGAAATACGGAAAGGTGTGAACCGTACCCATAGAAAACAATGGGATTTTCATGGTTGTACGTTTTGTAGAGCGTTCATAGAGCGTTGAACGCTCGACAAAACGGAAAGGTGTGAACGGGGACTTAATGTTTCTTCTTCAGTTTAGACACACTTAAAAAAGAAGTGAAGGAAAACCAAAATAAATTCTGGCACAACATGTAGGACGCAGCATTAGAACTAAAGACCACCCCCTTTTTTTCACTAATTTCCATAGCATAGAGAGAGATTTTCTGTGGATAATTGACAATAGCTGGGTAGGCACTTTAAATAAAAAATAAAAAGTGAAGGAAAAGCAAAAACAATCTGACACATCAATAGGACACGGCATTAGCTTTATAGACCACCCCCTTTTTCCTAATTTCTATAGAATAGAGGGTGGTCTTCTGTACTTTAATGATGATAGCTAGGTAGTCTGAGTAGGCACTTTAAAAAAAGTGAAAGAAAAGCAAAATTATTTTTTTTACACAACGTGTCAGGCACAATATTAGTACTACAGACCACCCGCCTTTGTTCCTAATTTCAGTATCGTAGCAGGATGTTTTCTGTAGTTTAATGATGATAGCTGGGTAGGCACTTTAAATATTTTTTTAAAAAGAGAAAGAAAAACAAAATAACTTTTGACACGTGTCAGGCACAACATTAGTACAAAAGGCCACTCCCCTTTTTCCTAATTTCATTAGCATAGAGGGAGGTTTTCTGTAGATCATTGACAATATTTGGGTAGGCTGGGTAGGCACTTTAGATAAAAAAAAGAAGTAAAACAAAAACAAAAAAATTCCTGCACAATATTTAGGATAAATATACAACATTATTACTACAGACTACCCCCCCCCCCCCCCCACCCACAACCACACCCTTTTT